CTCAACTGGATGCCTCTCTTTTTCTCCCCCTCCTCCTCCCTCCCACCCTATCTGAGGATAAATAGGAAAATATTCTCCGGTGAGGATTTTTTAAAAAAAAGGGAATCCATTAGTGATAGATTAGGGAGGCAGGAGAAAGCACGGTGGGGGGTAGGGGGTGGGGCTCTGGGATTGGATGAAAACTGAAATGATAACACATACCTAGGTGGGTACAAGGGTAGTTAACAGTCAACAATTTACTCAGCAACAATGAGGAGTTTGTGGTCTCCAGCCTGGTGCATTGATTGTGCCCTGAGCGGTCTGTAAAAAGGAAAATCACTTTGACATTCCAAAGGAATGTTATCATACATGCAAAAAGACAGTAGACAGGCTCAGTTAAGGTAAAGGTTGACCTTTGTCAGGGAAGATGCCAGCCTAGGACATGACTACCTGCCATAAACTGCTTCTAGTTCAAAGGTTTAATTTCAGACCACCCTTTGTGGTTACTGTAGATCTGAGTTTGCAAGGCCCCAGGCAGACCTCCCCCGAGCTTGTCAGGTTAGCATCCTTTTTGTCCACATAATTGAAAAGTGATACTTGTGTCAAAACTTTTTTTTAATGTTTATGCTTCAAAGGATACCATCATGACAGTAAAAAGACAACTCACTGAATGAAGTAAATACTTCTCAAATCATTATATCTGATAAGGGACTTACATCTTGAATATTAAAAAAAATACCCTTACATGCCCTGGCTGGTTTGGCTCAGTGGTTAGAACGTCAGCCTGAGAACCAGAGTCACAGTTAGATTCCAGTCAAGGGCATGTACCTCAATTGTGGTTCGATCCCCGCCCTGGTTGGGGTCTTTCGGAAGCAGCCAATCGATGTTTTTTCCTCCCTCCCTCCTTCTCTCCTTCTCCCTCTCACTCTTTCTGAAGGTAAATGGAAAAATATCCTCGGGTGAGGATTTAAAAAAAAACAAAAAACCCTTACAACTCACTAGTAAAAAGGCAACCAAATTAAAAATGCACACTGTATCTGAATAGACATTTCTTTAGAAACCATATGCAAATAGTCAATAAGTACATGAAATAATACCCAACAAAATTAGACTTTGAAGGGAGGGATGGGTCAATAGTGCCCAGATGTTGCTCTGAAGGTCAGATATGTGTCCTTCCAGACTCATGCGTTTAAAAACTCACTTGTCATATCTGGGGTTGAATTACATATGGTTGGTATTCTAGCTTTTATTGTTTTTACTTGTTATTAATATTTTCCCTTTTGTTCCTAATCTGTAGTCCATTGAATGGATATGCCCTTAACTTGATCATTTCTCTATGGCCAGGCAACTAAGTTACTCCACATTTTTGTTCTTATGAACAGTGTAACAATAAATACCTTTGCACACGTGCTTCTGGAAGGGTGTACATAGTTCAGGTGATTATCTTAGGCTAGTGAACCAAAGTCGGATTATTCCGCCAGAGGCTTAGAATACAGGGGGCAAACGTGGGGTACAGTTGTGAGTGTGTGAAGCACATGTGTTTGTTCTTGTGATATTATTTGTTAATTACTGTTTTTCCACACACACAGCTGTAAACCTACTTTGCCAAACCCAGCCTGTCTTTATGGTCTTGAAATCTTTCAACAAAATGAAGTGCTTTTATTCCTTCAAATTTTTTTTTATTTTTCAGTTTCAGTTGACAACATGAATCAGTTTCCAGTGGGCGCATAGTGGTTAGACATGTAGCTTATTAAGGGATCCCCCATATGTAGTTATCACAGCACCGCTGACTGTCCTCTGTGCTGGGCTCGGCGTCCCCGCACTGTCCTAGGACCGCCCACCCTACTCAGCCCCTTCCTCTCACCCAGCCCTGACCCTCTTGTCTGGCAACCATCCGCGTGTTCTCTGCCTCTGAGTCTGTTTTCTGTTTGTTTGCTCTCTTGTTTTGTTTTTTAGATTACACATGGAAGTGAAATCATATGGTATTTGTTTTTCTCTGAAAATAACATATTTTTGAAGCAAGGTTCATAAATGTCTTTGTAAAAATTTTATGTTGTTTTTACAAATTGATATTAAGATATTTGTGCAAGACACACATAGAGGAAAGTAAATATCACCCCAGTTACTACAATCTGACTGCTAATATTTAAAAAAATCCTTTAGCCCAGCTGGTGTGGCTCCGTGGTTGAGTGTCGATTCATGCACTGGGAAGTCACTGGTTCAATTCCGGGTCAGGGCACATGCCCAGGTTGGGGGCCCGATCCCCAGTGGGGGGGCATGCAGGAGGCGGCCATTCGATGTTCTCTCTCATCAGTGTTTCTATTTCTCTCTCCCTCTTCCTTCCTCTCTCTCTAAAAAGCAATAATAAAAAAAAGAAAAAAATTCTTTAATATATTTCCTCTTTTTTAAAATATGTTTTTATTGATTTTTCCTTTTTACTCCTTACCCGAGGATATTTTTCCATTTGTCTTCAGATGGAGTGAGAAGGGGAGAGACAGAGAGAGAGAGAGAAACATCAATTGACTGCCTCCTACATGCACCCTGACTAGGGGTGGAGCCTGCAACCTGGGCATGTGCCCTGAATGGGAATTGAACCTGCGACCTTTTGATGCATGGGACTATGCTCCAACCAACCAAGTCACACTGGCCAGGGCAATATATTTCTTCTTCAAAATTAATTCATATAGATGTATTTTATATAAATGGGATCTTATTACATTTGTTTTTTTGTAACCTGCTTTTATCACCCCAAAATAGGCCCTCATGCCCTGGCCGGTTTGGCTCAGCGGTTGGAGCGTCGGCCTGCGGTACAGAGAGACCCGGGTTCGGTTCCCGCTAAGGGCACGTACCTCAGTTGCGGTTTGTCCCCGGCCCTGGTTGGTCGTGCAGGTGGCAGCCACTCGATGTGTCCCTTCACATCGATGTTTCTTTCTCTCTCTCCCTCCCGCTCTATCTGAACAAAAAATGGAAAAATGTCCTCGGGTGAGGATAAAAAAAAAAAAAAAAAAATACGCCCTCACAATAATTACAGCTGCCATGATCATTTCTAATGTTTATGTGTGTACCATAAATTTATTCAACCGTTTGAGGTTCAGAGAGTCTGTTTGTATAGGTTGATCTCCTTAACATCCTGATGGGCTAATAGTAGTGCTGGGCCACGCACTGGAGGCAGTTTCATCATGTAAACAGTAGGGGGCACTCACACAGCCTGCTGCACCGTCAGGCTGTGTGGCACAGGTTGCCGCTTGGCTGCAAACTCTCACGACACATTATTGGATTCATTTATGTAAACACAGAAAAGGCACAGTAACATTGCGGTGTAAAAGATGTAAAAGGGCGCCCCTGGGTAGGGCACTGGCCTGAATGGAGCTGGCAGCAGGGGAGCTGCTCTGGGGGGGCAGTGAGGCAGGGGAGTGAGTGCGAAGACCTAGGACATGCTGTACGCTGCTGTGGGCTTTAAACCCTGTGCTCTTGGGCCACAAGTAGTTAATGAGTTAACCTTAGCTTACTGTAGCATTTTTACTTTTTATGAACTAAAAAAAAATTTAACTTTCTGACTCTTACATATTAATATAATACTTAGCTTAAAACAAACTCATTTTGTAGCTGCACGAAATGTTTTCTTTATATCCTTATTCTATACATTTTTTCTATTTAAAAATTTTTTGTAACTTTTAAACTGTTTTGTTTAAAAGAAACAGCCCTGGTCGATTTTGCTCAGTGGTTAGAGCATTGGCCGGGTTTGGTTCCCGCTAAGGGCATGTACCCCGGTTGCAGTTTGTCCCCGCCCCAGTTGGGTCGTGTGGGTGGCAACCACTCAGTGTGTCTCTTTCACATCAGTGTTTCTCTGTCTCGTCAATGTTTCTCTCTCTCTTCCTCTCCCTCCTGCTTTATCTGAAGATAAATGCAAAAATGTCCTTGGGTGAGGATTAAGAAAAACACACAAAAACTAAGAAACACACATTAGCCCAGGCCCACACAGGGTCAGAATCATGAGTGTCCCTGCTCCACCTCACACCCTGTCCCCCTGAAGGACTTCAGGGCAGACACACGCATGGAGCCGTCTCCCATGCAGCGAGGCCTCCCCTGGAGCACCCCCTGCAGGGCCTGCCTGAGGCTCTTCTTGAGGTGCCATCTTTCCAAAAACACGTCCACAGCGGTTTGCTTGCTCGGTTTCTTTTGTTCATCATAGATTTGCTTGGAAGCAGAATACACTGCTGATGTTCCTCTGTATTCATAAAAACTTTTCAGTGCTGGGGTCCATGTTTTCATGCTTTAAGGAGCTTGTTGAGGCCTGAGAAAGCTTCAGCTAAACACTTCACTGAATTTTCCTTCTGTTTGTTTATTTTAATATCTTACTGATTTTTTAGAGAGGGGAAGAGAGAGAGAGAGAGAAACATCCATGTGAGAGAGAAACATCCATCAGCTGCCTCCTGCATGCCCCCTACTGGGGATCGAGCCCATAACCCAGGCATGTGCCCTGACAGGGAATTGAACCAGGACCTAGTCCATGGGACCTTGTTCCATCCCCTGAGCCACACCAGCCAGACGAGTTCTTTTTCTTCTGCAGCTTCCTGCTCTTGCCTCCTCTCCGGCTGTGTGTTTCTGTTCCCGTCCTGAGCTCCTCATCAGTTTGCTCAGGAAGCTGCAGGAGCTCTTCAGGTCATCCTCAGCCACACGGTTCCAGGTGCTTGCGTCTCAGCCACAGCCTTGGTGGCTTTTGTGGTCTTTGCACTACAACCTTATGATGGCTACGAAGTCACTAGGTGACATGTTTTTACTCTGTTAACAATCTCATGGGGCCATTGTACATGAGATCTGACATTGATTGAGACCTCTTTATGTGGCACATAACTCTATTTAAAATTTCAAATACCTCATTCCATAGTGCATTGCATGTCATTTTAAAGTAATGTTTGTTAAAGAACTCTTTTTTCTTTTGGAAAAATCATTTTTGGAAAATTGTGGTAATGGTTTCAGATATCTAAAGATCCTGTGCTTCTGTAATTCCGCCGTTTCAGCTCCTGCCCACGATGACAGAGCAGCTGCAGTGGATGCCGTGTGTGAGCGCCAGGCTGCACGAGCCCTTCGCGAAGTTCATCTACTGGTCTCTGCGGCAGCTGGAGGCCGGCGCGCTGGTGATGTATCCGCAGGAGTCTCTGCGGCTCTGCTCTGTCCATGATACTCCTCTTGGTCTTGTTCCTGACCCTGATTTTGCGTGTGTCTAAGGACTTCTCCTTGCTTGCCTGACTGCTCTCTCTCCTCCCTCCATGTCTTACGTCTCAGTGCCCCAGCCGTGGCTCCATGTGGGACGCTGTGGTTGTTTCGGAATTGTGTATATAACTTGTTAAAACCAACTGTCACCCCATTATTTAATTTATAATTGTTTATGTTCTACTGAAGTCAGGTAGAAGTTAATGATTTATTGTTCTTACACCAGAGAATCATGCTAGCTAAATGGGACGATGAGTATTAGGGTAACCTAATCAAAGGAGAACATCACTCCAGCATCTTATGAGTGGTGTGTTACCTACGCTCGTAGCATCATGTGGCTCACATTATGACCTGCACATAGAATCATTAGTGGGAATTGATCACCCCCCCAGGTTGTTATTGATAGACGCTGTTACAGGTTCATAATCACCCCCCCAGGTTGTTATTGATAGATGCTGTTACAGTTTTCATTTGGTTCAAAAAGGAGAACACTTTCTGTCCCCTGGTTTGATGTTGGTGGGGTGGTTCTGAGGAAGCTCACAGCGGAGCCGCTCAGTGCGGTGCTGATGGCTAAGCAGCACTGGCCCTCAGTGAGTGGTGAGATGATGGAACCGTGTGATGATTAAGGTTAAGGAAAAATACCTTTTCTGAGGTGATATCCCAATGTTTCTTAGAGTGGGAGGGGGAGAGAGAGAGAGAGAGACAGAGAGAGAGAGAGAAACATCGATGTGAAAGGGAAACATCGAGTGGTCGCCACCTGCACAACCCAACCAGGACCGGGGACAAACTGTGACTGAGGTACGTGCCCTTAGCGGGAATCAAACCTGGGTCTCTGTGGACCGCAGGCCGACGCTTTAACCGCTGAGCCAAACCAGCCAGGGCCAGAATACCATTTTTAATTTGTTGGGCTTAACTATGTGTCTCCAAATAAAGGTATATAAGTGATCAGAGCTGTAAATATTACTGTTTTCTTTTTATGATGTGTTTGAGTCTGCTCTTTGTATAATGGTTTGTGAAAATAGGTAGCTCAATGCTTGGTTTTAGCAACAAAGATGTTAGACTTACAAAGTTGAATGAAACTTTATCTGCCTTCCAAATATTCTTATTTTCCTTCAGATAATTTATAGTCCTTTTTTTCCTTGATTGATTTTAGACAGAGAGGGAGAGGAAGAGGAAGAGGGAGAAAGAGATAGAAAAATTGATGAGAGAGAACATTGATTGGTCGCCTCCTGCATGCCCTGCACTGGGGATCAGGCCTACAACTTGGGCGTGAGCCCTGACCGGGAAACGAACCGTCAACCTCTTGGTCGATGCTCAACCCCTGAGCCACACTGGCCGGGTTCTATAGTTTATTTTTGTTGTCTTCAAATATATATTCAGCATGCCACTCTGTGTGCTGTTGTGGAGGGTACTGTGAGCCTGCACCTGCTTTTCTAGTGAAAAATAATGTTTTTGTCACTCTAACAGTCATTTATTCAACATTAATCGATGAGTTTCTAATACTTCCGTTTTAACCATTGTCTAAGTGCATGTACTTTTTAAAATTTTAGCTTTTTAAAAGAATACGTTTTTATTGCTTTTAGAGAGAGAAGAAGGGAGACGGAGAGAGATAGAAACATCAGTCAGCTGCCTCCTACCTGCCCCCTACTGGGGATCAAGCCTGCAACCTGGGCACGTGCCCTGATCGGAATGGAGCCAGTGACCCCTTTCGTGTGTGAGACTACACTCAACCGACTGAGCCACAGCAACCAGGGCTTAGCTTTTTTTTTTTTTAATCCTAACCTGAGGATATTTTTCTATTTATCTTCAGATAGAGTGGGAGGGAGAGAGAGGGAGAGAAAAAGAGAGAGAAACATCGATGTGTGAGGGACACCTCAGCCTGTTGCCTCCCGCATGACCCCGACCAGGGCCAGGGACAAACCGCAACTGAGGTCCGTGCCTTTGTCTGGAATTGAACCCACGAGTCATTGGTGTGTGGGCGGATGCTCTACCGCTGGGCCAAACTAGTCAGGGCAGGGGCTTAGCTTTTTATTTGAGATAATTGTAGATTCGCTTATAGTTGTAAGAAATAATAGATCACTTCTATCCTTCACCCAGTCTCTCCCAATGGTAGAACTGGTGCAGTATCACAACCACGATATTGCCATTGATACAGTCAAGTTAACAGAACAGTTTCATCTACATAAGGTTCCTCATTAAAAAAATATATCTATATATATATAGATATGTATATATGTGTATATGTGTCCTTTATCTATTAGGGCAGATTCAGGTTCACAGCAACATCGAGCTAAGAGGTTTCCCACATGTACCTGCTCCTGTGCACATGCAGCCTTGACCACCACAGCCATCTTGCGCCAGGTGGTTTCCCACATGTACCTGCTCCTGTGCACATGCAGCGTTGACTGCCACAGCCATCTTGCGCCAGGTGGTTTCCCACATGTACCTGCTCCTGTGCACATGCAGCCTTGACCACCACAGCCATCTCGCACCATGTGGGACATTCATCACAGTTAGTGGTTGACACCTCATCGTCACTCAGTGTCCGTGGTTTACCCTAGAGTTCATCTTTGTGTTTTACACTCTATGAGCTTTTATAGATACGTAATGACATGGAACCACCACTTTTGTATTACACAGAACAGTCTGATACTAAAAATTTGCTCTAAAAATCCTCTGTGCTCTTCCTATTTATACATCCCTCATCCCTTTTTTTAAAATATGTTTTTATTGATTTTTTAGAGAGAGAGAGAAACAGCAATGTGAGAGAGAGACTTCTACTGGCTGCCTCCTGTACAACCCCTACTGGGATTGAGCCTACAACCTGGGCATGTGCCCTGACTGGGAATTGAACAGGGACCTCTCAGGTCATGGGACGATGCTCAGTCCACTGAGCCACATCAGCTGGGCCTCATCCCTAACCCTTGAATATCATCAATCCTCTTATTGTCTTTGTTGCTTTTCCTTTTACAGAATGTCATATAGTTTGTAGTTCTACAGTATACAGCCTTCTCAAATTGGTTTCTTTCATTTATCAATATGCAATTAGGGTTCTATCCTGTCTTTTCATCGGTTGATAATTCATTTCCTTTCAGTTCTGAATAACATTTCATTTTTGTATGTACTACAGTTTATCCATTCACTGAAGGGCATCTTTTTTTTTTTAATTAAATTTTTATTTTTGTTACAGGTGTTTTTCCTTTTTTACCCATTACCCTGCCCCGTCCCTGGTTTTGTTGTCCATGTCCATTGGTTATGTGTACATGCATATAAGTTCTGTGGTTTATCTCTTCCCACCCCCCACCACTCCCTCTTCTGAGGGTTGTCAGTCTGTACCCTACTTCCATGTTTCTGGGTCTACCCTATTCCTCAGACTGTTATGTTCATTATATTCCACAAATAAGTGAAACTATGTGGTATTTGTCTTTTTCTGCTTGGCTAGTTTCACTTAGGATAATACTTTCCAGGTCCCTCCATGTCATCTCAAAGGATAAGAGATCTTTCTTTCTTATAGCTGCATAGTACTCCATTGTGTATATGTACCACAGCTTTTTTATCCATTTGTCTACTGATGGACACTTGGGTTGTTTCCAGATCTTAGCTATTGTAAATAGTGTCGCTATGAACATGGGGGTACTGAAGGGCATCTTGATCACTTCAGTTTGGGCAAGTATGGATGAAGATGCTATAAACATCTATGTGCAGGTTGTTGTATGGACATGTTTTCAGCTCCTTTTGGTAAATACCAAGGGGCAAAGTGTGGAGGGCGGCTGAGCAAAAGTCTCTTGTTCCTGTGGTGTTTGCATGGACTCGCCCAGGAGCCTTTAGTCCCAAGGCCACTTGTTCTTCCTGTGTGCTGACAAGGCCCACACAAGTCCTTCTGCCCAAGGTCACGTGTTGACCCTGTGTGCTGACAAGGCCCACGCGGGAGCCTCCTGCCCAAGGTCGCGTGTTCTTCCTGTGTGCTGACAAGGCCCACGCGGGAGCCTCCTGCCCAAGGTCGCGTGTTCTTCCTGTGTGCTGACAAGGCCCACGCGGGAGCCTCCTGCCCAAGGTCGCGTGTTCTTCCTGTGTGCTGACAAGGCCCACGTGGGAGCCTCCTGCCCAAGGTCGCGTGTTCTTCCTGTGTGCTGACAAGGCCCACGTGGGAGCCTCCTGCCCAAGGTCTCATGTTCTTCCTGTGTGCTGACAAGGCCCACGCGGGAGCCTCCTGCCCAAGGTCGCGTGTTCTTCCTGTGTGCTGACAAGGCCCACACGGGAGCCTCCTGCCCAAGGTCTCATGTTGACCCTGTGTGCTGACAAGGCCCATGCAGGATCGTCCTGAGCCACGGGCAAGAATATATCACAGTCTGGATCTTGAACTCAGAGACTGAGAGAAAGAAACATTTGGTGTTTGAGAACAATGAAGCTTTTGAACTTCCCCCCCTTCAACTGGCTATATAATAAACATGCTGAGCTAGCTTAGGGTCACTGTTTCTCCATCCAAGAGCAGTGTCCCACCTGGCCCCTGCTTTTCTCTCTAGAATGTTTCTGTCTCAGTCTCCCGTCGCCCTCCTCAGGTGTGGTCCGACTGGCCACGCACGTTGTTGGTTATCATGGTAGGAGTGTTGGTGTTTTAAGGAATTGCACACCGCTTTCCAGAGTGGCTGCACCGGTTTGCATTTCCAGCGGAAATGGCAGAGTTCCCGTTGCTCTCCATCCTCGTCGATATTTGGTGTTGTCAGTGTTTTGTTTGACGTGTGGTGTCCTTGCTATTTAAATATGCAGTATCCAAATGATGTGCACTGTGTGCGTCTCTCCACGTGCTTATTTGCCACCTGTGTATTTACTTTGGTGACCTGTCCAGGTCCTCCAACCCCCTTTTTTAATCCTCAAGGATTGTTTTATTTTTTATTTTATTTTATTTTTTATCCTCACCCGAGGA